GCATGAGCTTTCGTGGGTGAATACCCACTTCTTCGGATGCATGTGACCGAAGAAGTGGGTATTCACCCACGAAAGCTCATGCTCCTGTATGTCTGTTAGTCTATAAGGTGCCACGGGACTCTTTGCTGCTTTTACAGATCCAGACTAACACGGCTACCCCTTTGATAATTATCACCATGGTTATTCATGATTTGTACCAAATTAGCAAACTGCCTAGAAGTCCCGGCCCCTCTGTGCTGGCTGCTGTACAACTATGGATAAAAGAGGGGGTCCTTGTTCCAAATCACTTAAAATCAACATATAAGACAAGAGACAGTTGGCAGAGAGGGTAAGCAGATGGGAGAGAACATAAGAATGGCCATACTGCATCAGATCAAAGGTCCATCTAGCCCAGTATCCTGTCTTCCGACAGTGGCCAATGCCAGGTGCCCCAGAGGGAATGAACAGAACGGGTAATCATCAAGTGATCCATCCCATCACCCATTCCCAGCTTCTGGAAAACAGAGGCTAGAGACACCATCCCTGCCCATCCTGGCTAATAGCCATTGATGGACCTATCCTCCATGAATTTATCAAGTTCTTTTTTGAACCCTGTTATAGTCTTGGGTTTCACAACATCCTCTGGCAGAGTTCCACAGGTTGACTGGGTGTTGTGTGAAGAAATACTTGCTTTTGTTTGTTTTAAACCTGCTGCCTATTAATTTCATTTGGTGACCCCTAGTTCATGTGTTATGAGAAGGAGCAAATAACACTTTCTTATTTACATAAGGAGCATAAAGTAACAGTGAGAAAATTATGAAGAAGTGTAATATACAGTGATCACAGTCTACCAGCTGCCTAACCATAACTTGCCTTGCTGGTGAATTCAATACCATCACTTGGCAGCAAATGCATGGAGACCAGAGCATTGCTAGGAGTCTGGCATTAAGGCCTATTGGAATTCTTCTTAACCAGAGGGGTCTATCCCTTTCAGGCCAGCACACTGTAACACGGTTGAGAAACAGGTGGTGGGGAGGGAATTCCACAGAGCTGCTAGGAAAGTTTCCAAATTTCTTGTAAGGGTTCCCTTTAGCTTCATGTTCTCTGGGTCTTTGGGGAAGAAATCCGCTCTGGAAAGGAGGACAGTATCCATGGTGAAGGATACCACTGCATGGGTGCCAGATGCAGGACTGTGGTGAAACCTTTGGGTTCCCATATGTAATAAATCATTGCGGGCTATTTGCTAAGGTGCAGATTATGACTGAGGACATCCTCTCTGCACATTTCCTCCCCCCAGCAGCCAAGCCTGGGGGGAGGAAAGGAGGGAAATCCCTATTCCTGATTTTGCTGTGACACCAGTTTCATGGTTGGATTCCAAGCATCCACCTCCATGAGGATATGGAAAGGAAATCGGGGAGAGGACACCTGTATGCCCTAGATTGTCTCCTTCCCTTTTTTAGCATTATTTTTATTGGGCCATTGCACAGTTGCTGGGGGATAAGTTTGCTCTTTTCAGCCCTTTAGGGACAAAGACAGCCTTTTGAAAGGGCAGGTGTACCTCCCCATCAAGGAGAGGACAGGCCTGGGGGATATCCCCATCAAAATCCTTGGCCTCATCACAAGAGCAGGAGAGCTGGGGAAAGACTCTGAAGCAGAGGGACAATGACCCATTTAATAACCGGTGCAGGACCTGGCAGCACTTAGAGGTCCATTCCTTATTGATGGGGAGTAGCTAGGAGACTTGCCTCCATAGCAGGAATGGGTGCCTGGCTCCCTTCACCTGCAAGTACCAGTCATAGGAACGGCCATACTGGGTCAGACCAATGGTCCATTTATTCCAGTATCCTGACTTCCAACAGGTGGCCAGTGATAGATGCTTCAGAGGGAATGAACAGAACAGGGCAATTATTGAGTGATCCATCCCCTGTCATCCAGCCCCAGCTTCTGGCAGTCAGAGGCTAGGGACACACATAGTGTAGGGTTGAATTCCTGATCACACTGGCTAACAGCCACTGACGGACCTATCCTCCATGAACTTATCTAATTCTTTTTTGAACCCAGCTATACTTTTGGCTTTCACAACATCCCCTGGGAACGAATTCAACAGGTTGACTGTGCATTGTTTAAAGAAGTACTTCCTTTTGTTTGTTTTAAACCTGCTTTTAATGTCATTGTGTGAGCCCTAGTTCTGGTGTTACATGAAGGGGTAAATAACAATTCCTTATTCACTTTCTCCACACCAGTCATGATTTTATAGACTTCTACCATATTCCCCCTTAGCCATCTCTTTTCCAAGCTGAGCAGTCCCCAGTCTTTTTAATCTCTCCTCATACAGAAGCAGTTCCATACTTATAATAATTTTTGTAACCTTCTCTGTAATTTTTCCAATTCTTATACATCTTTTCTTACATTGGGCGAGCAGAAATGCATTGCGTGGGTCTGCGTCATTTATTCTACCTTTCAGCTATTTATGTCCTGCTATAGATGCAATAGGAAAATATCTCCACAAACAGATCAATTTGAAATGTGCTATGCAGATAAAGAGTTTTATAGGCAAATATTTTACAAGTATGACTAAAACAAAATATTCCACCGGGAAGTGCAGTAAAAATGTCTGGGCAAATAATGGTTGGAGAGGCGTTCCTCCTAATGCCAACATGAAAAGTATTTTCCTGAAGGCAGCCAGCCTCCTACAGTTCAAAGAAGGGTGATCTCGCTCCTCATCACAGATAACATGGGAAACATTTGAACAAGACTGCCCCATAGTGGGCATTTTTGAGCCTCTTGCTTTCTGAGTAACAGCATCTGTGATGCAAGTGGCTTGGGGAGGACCAAATGTCAGGGACAATTACAGAGGCCTCGGTGATAGCTTCACCATCTGACGGAACTTAGTGGATGACCAATCAACATTTGTCACACACACACAGATTTTATTTCTATAGCACCTCAAGGATGGCAAAGCACTCGGTTAGCACCACTACTCTTGAAGAACGTGTCTTTAATGAGAAGGTGGAGCATCAGTTTTATGCCGCAGTCTGAAGACTGAAACAATAATTGCAATGCTGATGAACATGCATCCTCCTAGCTGTGAAGGGTGCAGTTGCATCCTCCTAGTACACGTCTACCCCGATATAACGCTGTCCTCGGGAGCCAAAAAATCTTACCGCGTTATAGGTGAAACCGCATTATATCAAACTTGCTTTGATCCGCCGGAGTGCGCAGCCCCGCCCCCCCGGAGCGCTGCTTTACCGCATTATATCCGAATCCATGTTATATTGGATCGCATTATATCGGGGTAGAGGTGTAGTTTCCATGTGGGCTCTGGCCTGGGAAACATTTCAGTAAACCTGTGCTAATTAAGCACAGTCCTATTTATATCTGCCTTTACTGGTCATTAAGATGCAGAAGGAAAAACTGGACAGAGAACAGGTCTGCTGAAGACACCTACATGCCTCATACAGACACCAGGTGATGATCTTCACATGGGTACCTAGCATAGCTTTGTCCTCCCACCTGGTACTTCTGCTGCTAATTTGTACAGTGACTGCCACACAGAAAGAGCAGCCTTTTTCGGATATATGAGACCGAGGCTGCGTTTTAAGGGTTAAAAGAAGATCTTACCAGTGATTACTACCTGGGCAGCACCCATCATCTTGGCGACGAGCAAGCAAACTAGCCCAATGGGTCCTTGAGCAACAGGAAAGGAAAAGGAGATGTCAGAGTGCAGGAAAATCACGATCACTGTGAAGTGAGTGTAAAGCTCGCTGGGTTGGGGGTATAGCAGTGCTCCAGGGAGGATTGACACTGGGATTATGGTAGATGTCATGATCTGCTGCAGTGCACTGAGAATGACAGCGGGCATGGCTGTTATTGTTCCAGGTTTGGGGCTGGCAGTGAGAAGAATACTGCCAGACTCCTAGGTATCTTGTTACCACCCAAATTGCCTGTTTAGCCACAACATGCACTTCAAATCCATTTTGGAGCAGGGCTGGCCAAGGAGTGCACTGCTGCCCAAGGCCACCCTCAGCCTCAATACAGAGATGTGGGCCATGGAGACTGGAGTGGTCAGCACACAATGCTCCATCCTGAACCTAGAAACCAGGCTGGTCACTCTGTTGCATTTCTCTGTGACAGAGCACTCATGACAGGTGGGAAGCACAAGGTGGGTTATTCCATACCAGCCCCACAGATTAAGACTTTGGATCCCAGAGTGACTCCGCCTCTTCGGCAGGCATGGATTCCCACAGAAAGTGGTTCAATGAGGGCCCCTTCTTCAAAGGTGACGTTATCTGGAAGCCTACAAGAACCAGAGACACAGGAAAGTCACAATTGGGGCTTTTAATGGTTGTGGAGTGAAGCTAACATTTTACGATCCACAGGACCATGTCTGCAAAGATTAGTGTCTAAGCTGTGCTGGCAAAATGCCCTTATAATTGGAATAAAACACAGACCTGAGCACTACATAAGGGGCTACTATGCAACTAACTACCCATCAGACTCTGCAATCTCTCTTTTGGCAGGCACAATTTAGGCACCCACCCTAGAAAACATGATGCTTGTTGTTTGCTGCAATGAATCGTGAGGATGTTCAACAATGTGCTGTGGGGAAGAGGTGTGCCCTGCCTTCATGGATGGGTACGGGAGAGAAGGCTTCTGCACCTTCAACTTCTATCATTGTTCTATTCCCGGAGGAGAAGGGGAATGTGCTGCAGATCATCCACTCTTCAGGTTAACAAGGGAAGTGTTCCCCCAGGTGACTCCTGTCAGACCCATGAAATGCTATAGCTTGTAGAGGTGGCCACTTCATCTCACAAAACAAAGGGACATACGATCAGACATCTCCCTATTCATTACCCCATCATACTCTATTGCTGGTCACTGACATGTGGGAAGTGTTTCAACCGGTGGGTTGGCCTGAGATTCATACAAATTTGTGGTATATACAAAGAGTTTAACACTTGGTAACTAGGTCCTAGCACTCACTCTCCCAAGAAGAATCGAAGGCCTTGGCTCTCCATAGTCAGTGGAGTAACTAACACCTGGTGCAAAGAGGGAGTCAAATGCCCCCAAACCACAGTGGCAGTGTCTTGTATGCAGTTGGAACAGGAGTAAAGGATGACAAAAGGCACATGGCAGGAGGGAGACAGACAGTATGATTCTGCTATAAGACAGACACTTCTGAGCTGCTACAAGAGAGTTGAGCCTCAGCTCCCTGGTGCTCAATGCAGCCTTCCAGAAATTTACCAGGCAAACTGAACCTCTCACAAAACAGGCACTGGAAACTGTATTTGAAAGGAAAGTGTTCCATAAAATCGGGTAATGGAGAGCAGTGACAGCTGACAAGGCCCCTCCTTTGAGACAGCAGAGGAGCATCCTGAAGTCAGAGGGGCAGATTCTGATCTCAATTGGGTAGCATAAAGCCAGAGAAACTCTGTTGACTCCCACCGCAGCTCTGTAAATCGGGGCACTTTTACTTAGGGGGCCTAAATATAGATTCGGAGGGGTAATTCTGGGCACCTAAGCTTGAAAGTTTTAGCCAAAGTACTTTTCATTCAAGTACAAATCAAAGTTCCCTTCCTTTACAAGAGGAGAGCCGCCCCATGAACCAAAACAGTGACTTTCCAGGAAACAATGACAGATCAAACAAAAGAAAATTGTCCTAACAGAGCAGAAATACTGTCACAATCAGCTACACTCTTCTGACAGTGAAGAATAAGCCCTAAGCAACAGCACGGTCTAGTCGGGGCCACCAGTGTCTCCAAAGGCTGTTTAGGACCCCAGTTTGAAGGAGCCCTCCTCTGCCAGACAGCAGCAGTGCACTCTAGTGGACAGAGTGAGGGGGAGGGACAAACCTTTTCAGATTAATTGGATCTCAAATTCCAATGCTGACATTTCATTAGGTACCAGATACAAATCCAGATGAGAAATGGCCTTTATGTTTGTTAACGGGAAAATGTCTAGTTTACTGCAGCAGAGATTTCTGAAGAAAATCAATAAACCTGTGCTAAAGCAGACTACACTCTATTGCTTTATGGACCTAATCCTATAGGATCCTTGAGCAACTGATTTTTTGGGGAATTTTGCCTGAGTAAGGATTTGGGTCTCTGATAAAACTACCCCAGTGCTTTATCAGCGCAAGCACTGGTGTTAAGCTGCATACTGAAGTGGTACTTTGTGGGCCGGGTTTCAGAACGGAAGCAGCCCAGGACTGTGCACAAGGGTGTACATGTTGATAATTTGTCTGAGCAATTACTAGTGGGGGAGGGAGTTCACTAATCTATCTTTTTAAGGATTCTATATTGCTGCCCATTACCAGGGTATCTACTCAACTCCCAGGAAAATCTGATTGATGAAACAAGGTCCTTAGTGGCCTTCGTGGAGTCTTCAGCCCTTTCCAGTGGGAGCTGTGCTTGGGGTATGGAGTGATGATAGCGGCACGTGAAAACATCACTCTTGTCTCAGGTGCACAACCAGTTACATGTGCACACACACACACACACACACACACAAAATCAGTCCATCATCCAGTCTCACATTTTGAAAACCAAGCCTATAACTTCCTGGGTGAATGATTCTTGCCCACCTGCCAGGAGCCATGTGGTTATATTAATAAATGCTTTCAAAGTGCCTGGATATACCCACATGGAAGGTGCTATTGAAAGGCAAAGTGTGATTTTTATTATAACCTGAAAAAAAGGAACCAAGCCAGATACTTGTCCCCCTCCCTGCGCAGAGCAGGGTACTGAGAGTCTGTTGGGGCTCTGCTGCTGGCCAACAGGGTCAATGTGTTCTTCAATTAATCCATCTAAAAAGAGGGATTATCATACTTAGCTACCTTGCAGATGAGGCTTCATTCATGAATGTTTGCAAAATGCTCCAAGGCCCTCCAGTAAGAGCACAAAGTCCTGTTACTATGAGACAATGATTCCAATGCAGAAGGTCCATTTCTGACAACCCAGCAAACATCAGGGATGCTATTTCTAGAGCATGCACAGGCACAAATGAAAGAGGAATGTTAGTCCCTAGCGTTAGTGCATTTCTGGATTTACGGGTTTGTTCTTTCTTCAGTGTACATGGAACTCCCTGTTCCACACGGGCCTCAAAAGGGGAGCAAACTCCATAGATAAAATATCTACATGGCACTGCCACAGAGTATTTCCAGGGTGGATACGCTGGACCCAATTCATCCCCGGCATGACTCTACTGAAGTCAGAGCAGTTATGCAGGAATGAATTTGGACTGCTAGGTTTTCTAATGGTCCAATTCAGCAAAGTACTTCAGCACAAGCTTAACGTTAAGCTTGTGCTTAAGTCCCATTGCAATCAAGCCATACGGATGCTCATATGCTTAAATGTTTTGCTGAATTGGAGCCCAAGTGAGTTTCTCTGACAACCAGGATGTGACCTTTGGCATCAGTGAGGTCAAAATTGTCTTCAGTGTTGCACGAAGGCTGGATTAGCAGAGGTACTGGCTGCCTGGGACAATCAGGACCAGTCTAGGTCTTCTCAGTTAATAACTGAGCAAATCATATTGCAGATTTAGCAGTTCTTGCAGTGCTTTCTACAGGGCAGCAACGGTGCTGGCTCTCCTTGACAAATGAGGAAAAGCCCTTCCTGGAGTTTCCAACAGCAGAACCCAAAAAACCATCAGGCCTTACCTTGCCTTGTAGAAATGAGAGCAAGAAGAGAGAGGATTTAAGAAAAGGAAACCCTTTGGGGTTAAAGCAGTGACAAAGTCATACGAAATCTGCAGGAAAGAAATGTCTAACTACTTCCTGTCATAAAGTTCTCAGATACCACGGTGAAGAGTGGAGATAAAAACAAAGACAAACAAACACATAAATAAATAATCCCTAGCTCTTCTACAGTACTTAGCATCCGTAGCTCTCCTGGTGCATTACACAGGAGGTCAGTACAAAGGAGGTCAGATTAAGTTCTAGATCACATTCCCAAACACTTGGCAACCAGGCCTCAATCTGAACCCCACCCATGCCAGGGGCATCTTGGGAAATAACAAGAAGCGCTTCATGTAACTAGATTACTATCCCCATTGTGCAGATGGCTGAGGGAGAGAGGGAGGAGCCATATGGCTAACCCCACACAGGGAGTGGTTATCTGTAGGCAGGGGGAGTGTGTGACTGACTTGTAGCAAAAGCTGGCATTGTGTGCATAATATCGGCACAGGTTTCCATCATCAGGAGGTGTCGCACAGAAGAAGATAGTCGGAGACAGGTTGTAGCGTCCGATTTTGCAGAATTCATCGATGTCTCGAGGAGCACCAGGCTCAATGGCCACTCGATCGCCTGAGTGAGTGAAAGGAGGGTGGGGTGAGACAAGGAGTGTGTGGGCACAGCACCATGTGGAGATCTGAATGCTCAAGAGGGATGCCAAGGAAGGAAGAGATCTACCCTGTTCTGTAAACACCCACTGAAAGACAAAGACTTCCTTTGATACACTTGAATCTATTTCCCTAATGCCATGCTACGGAGGACGCATCACCCAGCCCCAGGGACCCAGCCATACACACTGTTCATCATTACAGAAGGAAATATAATATGCAAGAGGCAGACAGACACTAAGAGGATGCCGGATCAGTCACATGCAGAGCTACCTACATCTTCCCCTCAGTCTAATCACTGTAAATTGGCTGATTTCCTATTCCCATCAGAAAGCTAGCGTTTGTCACAGAGTATCACTGAGTGGTATCTGAGATCTCCTGCAATTAGGAACTAAACGGAATCACCATGCAGGATCTGTTGGCAAACGTTGGATTTTAATGGCAATCACTGTACTTGCTCTCCAGACTGACAGTTATGATGGGGAGGGAGGCTGGGCTCCTGGTAAAGACCTGGAAGCGCATGTAGGAGTCAGGAGATCAGTATCCAAAATACATAGAGCACAAAAGCCCCTTACTCCCATGTGGGAGAGCTCCACATTGCCTGATCAATCCTCGGACAGCTCAGAGTGGCAAAGGGGCAGTTGTTCACCTGCTCCACAGTCAGGTTTTCCGAAACTCATAAAACATCCAAAATGCTTCCAGCCCTTTTCACTCAGCACCAGAAAGCCAATAATTGGGCAAATCCCTCAGTGAGGCTGTGGTCATCTCTCTAGCTCAGAGGTTCCCCTCAGGATGTCCAGGCAGATGGAGGGCCCTTTGGTCATTACTATTGTTTATTAATTACAGAGCGGCATCAGCGTACTCAGCACTGCACAGAACACAGAGAAAGATTTAGTCCCTGCCCCATAGATCTAACTCTGGGGCCAAACTCTGCTCTGTGTTACACCTATTTAAATCTGGAGTCACTCTAATGAAGCTAACAGTTACCCTAGATTTACATGTAAATGAGAAATAATGCACATTTCTTAGTAAGCCAGCACCTAACCGTCAATGCGAGATGTCCTCAACTTCTGGAGCATGTACACACAGCAAAAGGAAGTTATGATACACCTCTACCTCGATATAACGCTGTCCTCGGGAGCCAAAAAATCTTACCACGTTATAGGTGAAACCGCGTTATATTGAACTTGCTTTGATCCACTGGAGTGCGCAGCCCCGTCCCCCTGGAGCACTGCTTTACCACATTATATCCGAATTTGTGTTATATCGGGTCGCGTTATATCGAGGTAGAGGTGTATTGAGTTAACTGGCTCAATAAAAGGGATCACAAGCAGCAAGAGTGACTCACATGCATGGTCTACAAAGGCTTTATGGTCTCACTTGGATTGCACGTTCAACACGTATCCTTTAAATACACAACAGGGCATGTGCAATATTCAAATCATATTAGCATTCTCCAAAAGGTCAAAGCAAGTGATTCCTAAGAAGTGCCATGAAGTCAGATGTCCAAAGTGAGTAATGGATGGCAGTGAGCCTTGTCGTTTGTGAGGGGACAGTGTTGGACAAATCACAACAGATCTCAATCTGCCCAATGTACTGTGCAGTAAAGCAGGGACAGGAGACAAAACCCAAGAGGAGCTGTTTTTATTGTAACATCTTACTCTAGGTTTGATTTTCAATAAAAGAGAGCCAGATTTGGCTTGGAAGGGCTGGTGGTTGGTTAGGAGGATTTGTGCAAGGGGTGAAGAGAGCAGTGAACCAACAGATAAAGGACAACAGCTGTGTTTTAGGTAGATATAGGTGCAAACCATAACACTGGAACCCAGCTCTGGCTCCTGAACCCCAAGTCCAGTGGTGCTGGGACCTGCACACCAGTTTTAACCCAATATAAAGGCAGAGTAATTTATGAAATTCAAATGCAAGTTAAGATTTTCATCTAAGGCCTTTTCTGGCCCCCATTATCATAGTACCCCAGCATCTCACAATCTTTAACGTACTGATTTTCCCAACACCCCTGTGAGATAGGGCGGTGCTATTATCCCCACTTTACAAAAGGGGAACAGAGGCAAAAGGAGTTTAAGTGACTTGCCCAAGGTCACCCAAGAAGTCTAGCGTAGCAGGGGACTGAGCCCAGGAGTGCTGAGTTCCAAGTTGGCACTCACATCACTGGACCATCTTCCTCCTCTTTTTATCACTCCTAAACTGAAGGTTTTGGCTTAGGCTTCTCTGGTTTGCAGGATTCCTAATGTTTCATCAATGCACAATGAACATTTACTATTTCCTAGCAGGCTAGCCTCTCAACCTCATCACAACAGAGAAAGTACATATCAGGCAACCGTCCACAAGATTCAAGGAAGCTGCTCACCTGGCTTCAGATGGGTTACTGATGACCCCACTTTGATGACGGTTCCGGATGCCTCATGCCCTAGCACCATGGGCTTCTTTATGATAAAGTCCCCAATTCTACCATTCTGCCAATAGTGGACATCAGACCCACAGATCCCGACCGAATGCATCCTCAGCAGCACCTCTGGCAAAGAAAGAAAGAGGCATAAACCAGAGACCAACTGCATCAGAACAGAATTAGGCCAATGCTGAGAGCACTTTTGAAAATCTCATTCTAATGTTTATCACTAGAAAATATACTAGTGGACAATCCTGCACTAGCCCTGGGGGTGGACTAGACAAGTTTCAATAGGTTTTCCATCATCTTCTTCCCTCTATTTCTTTACCTTCCTAATCCGTTCACCATCATTTACTAACATGTTTCATAGTAACACATTTGCAATTACATCCTATAGGACAGTCAACATTTATGAGCTACTTACTGAAATCTGAACATTCTAGATAAGAACCTAAAACTTCCAAGAGCTTAAAATAAAATATATCTCTTGTAAATGAAGGCAAATGTAATCTAAGAGGAGAGCTCAAGTCTGGGTGCCAAATGGGACCTTTGATTAAATATGATTCACAGAACTTCTGGCTACTTGAATAATTTTCAGTTAGAATGGTGTACTATGCATTTGAACGCAGCAATAAAGCATATATACTTCAGGGTTAGGGTAATCAGATTATCAAGATGAAACTATGTTTAGTGCTTCCGATCACATGATAAGCAGCCTGCGGCATCAAAATCCCAATGGAATTTCCATTTTACAAGCTTGTTATCTGAATGAGGCCAGAATGGAGTTTCTAGCTAATTTTTCCTTCTCTAGTTTCTATGGGCCCAATCCTGAGAAGTGCAGATCATTTCCAACTCCCATCAGCACCCCTTTGTGATATTGTTCTCTTTCAGAGGAAGGTAATTATTCAGATGTTATTAAAATGACCTAGTCTCTCGCCCAACTTTATTTACACCGTCTTCCTTCTCAGTGCAAGTCCCATCCACTTACACTTCAGCAGAGTGGATGCAGGTAGGTCTAAAGGAAGAGAACTAATTTTCCAGACCTTATGCATCATTTCTCAATAGGACCCTTAGGATTGTGTCTTTCATAAGTTGTTATTGTTCCCAGATCTTGTTAACCTAAAACACAGGGAGAGGGCGTTAGCTAACGCCACATACATTTCAGATTTCACCACCATTCCGTCCCAAATGGATGCAATATTTGACCTGCTCCACCTACATGCTCCTTTTTGGGCAATGTTATATGTTATCATAGACACTATAGTTGGTTTGCAGGGGGAGATCAGCAAAGGGTAAATAGAGAATTTAGAAAGAAATTACACTCATAAAGAAAACCACAAGGTAGAAGGCAGGCAGTCACTCTAGAGACCTACCATTGGGACCTGGTTCTGGGACCGAGCGATTTTCCTATAGGGAAACAAACATAAAGCATTCAGTTTGCATGAAAATTTGGGGCTGCTTTCTGAGAAATCCCTAGAATTTTCTCCAGTATATAAGTAATCACAGTAGTGGGATAACGTCTTATACACCAAACGTCCCTAGAATGGAACAGGACTTGTGGTTTCAGTAAAGCACCTTATCCCATGATCTGAAAACAAACTCATCTTCTGAAACCAAACTGGCTTTTGAACCAGATATTCACAGTAAAGCAACAACTTATAAAGACAGTCAGGATTACATGTCCCTTTCTAAATGCCTATTCTCACGCCCTTGTCTTGTAATGCTATTATTGCTGGAATAGCTGTTCCTTGAGATTGTTATATGAATGAGGCATTATAAAACTTGAATCATTGACCAATGGGTAAAACCCATGGAAGGGAAAAACACAACAAAAATTCCATGTGGCTGAGGGCAAAAACACCATCTTTTCCCCCACAAGTGGATATAATGGGAGCATTATAGAAGCAGGGTACAGTGGCTATTTAACAGTGTGGAGCCTGAGGATCCCAGGAAAATGAGCATTACACAGCTACTCTGTCATACATAGAAGGGCTTAGCTACAACCCTGGGTCACATTGCACACCAAGAAAAGGTCATCTATATGTTTGCAGGACTTTTACCTCTTCTCTCTATATTTATGTACTTACATGGTTCCCCAACATTGTGGTATCTGAGCTCCTCCCAAGTATTCAAAGAAAAAAGAATAAGTCCTTAGGATTTCACTACACAAGGAGGTTAAACAAAATGTCCAGGTACAAAAATAAACACTGTGCTTTCAAACCCCTATAACTGTCTCTGTTCACAGGATTGGGGAGGTAATGTATAATGGGGAGGAAAAGTGGATTTCTGAGTTCTCAACAGGTTTGCTGCAAAGTTTCTTCCTAACTTTAAAAATGAAAGTGGGGTGGTTGCATTGTCTTTTCAAGATTACTGGAACCAGCCCAACTCCCAGTTGAAAGACTCCCATTGACTGCAATGGAAACTGAATTGGTCCTTCGCTGGGACTAGCGTAAACGCTGTATAATCTACTTGCTTAGAAGTCATTTCGTTATCAAAGTCATACATTGTGTCCTACACCTAATTACCCCCACACATAAATCCAGGCGTTGGACCTTTGAACGCAGATATTCTTTCTTAAAGCATTTACAATTTAAAAACTTCATAAACACTAAACTCAATATTTGACATCACTATCACAGTAGGAAAGCAAACATTAAAGTGAAGAGAATTATGTTGTGTTCAGTTTGATTTCACCTCACTATGTTTATCTTTTGCTGCACCTTTCTCCAAAGATGATTTAAATGTTTAGTCAATAAGCAAATATTACTTTGGATTGAAGAAGTGGATGGTCTTGTTATGATGGTCCACAGAGCATCAGCTACAGCAGTCATGAAGAGATTACCACAACAGGGCACCAGAGACACCAGATTTACCACCCATTTTAGGGAAATATTGTAGTATCTCTGATATCTCTGTGAGGCAAATGCTGACTTTTTAGTGGAGCCACAGCACTACACTTCAATATAGAGTCTCAATCCCAGCAGTGCTTTTGAACCCACCCTGCTTTCTTTGCTTTCCTTGACTCTTTAGTAGTGTAGGGCATAAAGCTCGGGGAAGCATGAGATTTGATTAGTGTGATTTAATGACTGTAAAGTCAAACATGGTGGGCCTGATGCTCATTTACACCGAGGTCCCTTAACACAATCAGAGTGATTTAAAAGTGAATAAGTGTAAATGTGAATCAGGTCCAGTGTGCGTGGGGACAGGGAAGTGGGTGGAGGGGCAGGGTGAAGATTTAAGGAGAGTGACGGTTGGACTGAAAGAGTATGTCTTCCACTCCTTAAAACGTATCTTGTTGTACAATACTGCAGCTAGACAAATAGTTACAAAGCATGTATTCTATTGGGAAGTTAATGGTAGAAAGGTAAGCGAGGAGTCATTTTATTCATAAAAATCTATAGAATCATAATTTCAATGGTGCCACCTTCTGAGGCGTGGCAGGGGGACACACTGCCTCCCAGGTCCTCTGGTTGGTGGACATTTCGATAACACAACGTTGTCCTAAGTGGGTCAAGAGGGTTGTCATTTGAGAGCCCTTTCTCCCATGAACACAATGGTGGTAGTAGCAAACACGACAAACGTAGAAAAATTATGTAGATATATATATGAGAAATATTTTTAAATCATTTTTTAAAATTATACTTTAACACGCCCATGTCAAACATGCAGCTCTCACAAAGCTAAATTGTGGCCCTCCACTGACAGTACTATGTTACCAGTTCATGCTCAGAAATATGATACCTGATTTTTTTTTTTAAATGTGACAGATTACTATAAATGGAAGGAGTGCTTCCAGTTGTGCCATCATCAGCAAAAAAAGAGAAGTGGTTCAGTGGTACTGATTATCAGCTTTATTGTGCTAAAAGAGTTGTAATGGGGCACTGGTTAAGACATCAGCATCCAGACAGAAGCTACTGGAATCCATTCACAAATGGAATACACATAATTAATTAATTACAATCCCAAAGTAATTTATTACAGAATCCTCATTTTTACTTTGGTCTCAATGATTTTTAGGCACAATGAGGAGACAAAGAGTTCCAACTAGCAGTGAATCTTTGGAGAATACCATCATGGAGGACCTGGTTAAACACAATGCTCAGTGGCACCTTACAAGCTATAACAAGTGCACCCATAAACTGAATTTGGTATGTTTGGAGAGGAAGTACGTTGAGCATCAGCAAAAGCTAAAGATGCCAGGACAAATGACAGCTGTGGGTGAGACTTGCGTTACACTATTTCCGATGGAATACATTTCAAGAAGAACATCTGCTTCTTCTGCAGCAAGCCGGAAGCCCAAAGGCATCCTCTAAGAGTCTAAGCACAGTTTCAACATGAAAAACAGGTGAGAAACTGTATGAAGCAGTCACTGTTAGCAAGAACGTTGCATGGAAAGTAAAGTAAAATGGGTACACTGACCAAAAGATGCCTATGCATGTGACATTGTGTATCACATCAAGTGCTACACCAAGAACATAGGTAACATGTTGCATCTAAAGGTCAAAGCAACAGAAACAAATAATGATACTACTACTACTGCAAACTACGTGACTAAACTGGATTTCATAAAATACCTTGCAGAGACTCTAATGAATGGGAAAGTGATGGCAATGGCTGATACAGAGACTAAGTATAGAGAGACTATGTGCTTTGAACGGGATTGAAGAGGAACAAATGCTTAGCAGACAGGCTCTTAAAGCACTTACTAAAGATGAACTGTGGGATATGGACAAAGTTTTTAGCAATCCTATCCACAGAAATGAATCACAGGGCATATCGTTAAAATCTGCAAAAGACATGGTGCTACCGAAAGTGGAAGAAAGCACTGATGTCAACAGTTCAACAGAACACTGTTTACAGCCACTAAATTTTTACAGAAAAGCATTTTGTATTGCAGCACATGGGAATTTCAGGGGAATGCCAAACCTGAAGAAATAATACCATGTGACCGGTACTACTTCTTTAAATGGTGCATTGGTAGTCACAGTGACATCAGCACCAGATCTTTCATGACCATCCAGAACTCCATCAAACTTCAAATGAAACATTAAGCTTGGGTGGGATGACCTCCCCCAAAGAAACCAAGCACCATCTAGACTCATTAGGTGCTGTTAAATGCCAAGAAAGGGCAATTTTAAAGCTACAGGATAAACTTACTCACACTGGCAAACCATTCTCCTATGATGGACCAGAACTCATTAATATCATGACAAAAGCAGTCTTCAGTGATGAGACAGCTAAAGATGTCAACTGAATGGATACTTTGGGTCATGACTTGTATCAAGCCTTCAAAACCCAAAGAATTATCCAAGGCTCCATCAATCAAGAAGCATTCCTCAAATGCAAAGACGACAGTCAAAGTGAAGGTGGCAGGGACTATTACAGAGCTAACCAGACAAGTCATCACTTGTTTGTCTCCTGGTTGTGTCCAGATCTCAGTGTCATATTGACCTACATGAGACTTTGGAAAGTATGAGTTCTCTGTGGTATCATAACTGATGTCTGAATGTGATGGAGCAATGCATGTGTGCTAGGTGAAAACCAAACTTATGCACATCTTGCATGGTCTTCCTAAGCCAGCACCTATTGATGTGACTGGTATCTTATCCCAGCCAAGGTCTTTCAGAGTAGCAATCACAGATGGTATGGCTGAGGTACAAGCTCTCAACAAACCAGAAACTGTTAATACCTGCCAAGATTTGGCCTACAGAGAAAATGCTGGACCTATAACGAAGTCCACCTCACGTTTGACACGTATGTGTAGGCATCTATTACAAATATTACCAGAAAGAATAGACTCCATGGTATTGCACCTGTCCAATACAAAATCATTGACTCCACAAACATTTCCAGTGTCACAATGAAGAAGCTACTGTCCCATACTTGCACAAAGCATGAGTTAACCACACATTGCAGGAAAAACATTACAGCATGAAAAGAATTGCTCAAAGAATTTCATTGTCACATGGCGTAATGAAACTTCTGCCTCGCACTTTTCAGTGGAGTTCTTTGTATTTCCCAAGACTTCTGCAAATTCTGCTTCTGTGCCTGCTGCTGGGGAACAGAATCACTGTATATCCCTCAGAGATGTGTTCCTATCTCTTAGACCATTAAAAGATGCCACACTGCCAGGTTTTCACACCCTTTCAGGATGGAAGACAAAATTTCCTTTCTGGAAGGCATTTGATTCAGCCTCTGAAGAGACACTCGCATTGAAGGTGCTTGGAATGGCTGAGACAGTCATTAATGAGATCATAAATGCACTGGAGGTGTTCATATGTCAAATTTACTATTTGAGATCAACATTACAACACTTGCAGACCTACATTGGTGGCTGTTTTCCAAGGATCAGACAAATGGAGAAAAATTGCCACGAAGAGGTTCATGTTTTTACCTGCTACCGAGAAGATAAAACCATCAAGCAAAGGAATGGCTCCAGGATGATTGAGCACATTCAAAAGTACCCTCTCCTATCAAGCATGAATGGGTTTTTCCAGTTACACATGAAATACAATGCATTCTCAAATCAATCCTAATCAAATGGTCATGTGCAAAAACCAGACGCTCACCACCATGCAAATGATTGGCCAGCAGCCTGCCTTGTATGGTGATGTGTGAGTGTGGCGCAGATGAGGATCAGTATGTGTTACAATGTAATTTAAATTTTTTTTATTTTTAAACATTTTCTTGAATATATATCTTCATAAGTGTTCTAGGTTTGTCATGTTTGGTACCATTGTGTTTGGGGGGAAAAAGGGCTTTCAAATGAAACCCAACTGAATCCTTTTCTGACAAACCTGCATTATCAAAATTTCCACCAACCGGAGGACCTGAAGCTGGGAGCCAGGGGATGGGGCAGTGAGTCCTCCCTGCCACAATGCACAGCATGACACCATTGAAATTATGATTCTGTCAGAATTTTATTAATCAAATAATGCCTCACTTACCTTTCTATCACTAACTTGCTCATGGAATGAGATTTTACTACATCAGTGTTCCCGGACTAAAATGCTCGCCTGCCTGTGCATATCTCACAAGCATTGCACTGCCATTCATTGTTAAAATAAGCAGTAAATGATTAACACTGCATATGGACAGTATGTGGCCAAATTCTGCCTGTTGATATTAATGAAGCTCAATGGGGTGTGCATCTGGGCAAAACCCGCTCTATGTAATTTTTAGTGCCCAGAACTTTATTTCTGACACAGATTTCTTCAGTCCAAGGCACTTTGTCCCACTCAGGACACCGCCAAAGTGAATTGGAAGCTTTTAAAGAAAGCCTTTTTTGAGTTATCCACATGCATAGAAAGCATCTAATAAATGTGTGAATTGGTGAAACACAATTTTTACAACCTCGGCTTTTTTTTTTTAGAAAAGTCGTGTGTGAAAATAGGAGCTTCCAATATGTATAAAAGATAATGAAGCTCACAATACTGGAAGTGGAGTATCTAAGAGCATCCTAAAAAACATGCACCCATTTGTTCATTAGGGAGCTCAAAGAAGAATGAGAATGATCTTGAGTCCAGAAAAACTCTCATATGGAGAAAGACTGAAGAGATTGGGACTGTTACTTTAGAGAGCAGACAAATAAGAGGGGACATGATAATGATTGTGATAAAGGGGATTTTCAATTAAATTAAAACCGGCAAATTTAAAATTGATAAAAGCATGTAAATACTATACAAATACAACATATAAATATTATTTATTATTTGTATTACCATAGCACCTAGGAGTCCCGATAGTGGATCAGGACCCCATTGTGCAAGAGATTTTTTCAAACAAAGAAAAACAGACTCTGGAACTCACTGCCACAGGAAGTTATTAAGGTCAAGAACTTAATGAGATTCAAAAAGGGATTGGACACTTATATGAATAATAAGAATATCCAGTTATTACAGTTAATGCTAACAAATATTTTGAAAGGAATATTAAACCCCATGTTTCAGGGCTTAAGCCAATCTCTAACTATTAGAAATTATAAGGTGATCCAAAGTGGGCACCACTTGGCCTTAGTCAGAGTCAGGATACTGGGCTAGATGGACCGTGGGTGTGATCTAGTATGGCAATTCCTATGTTTCTATTTAGAAAACTGTACATTATATGTGTATGAGATGCACATTATTATAAGTGTTGCTTTTTAATACTGTTTTTGCAGATGTTACTGCTATCTCAAATGTGGCTGTGAGCCACGCATTGTATGTAACACTGCTCATGCGGACACACTCTGTTTGAACTGCACTGGAGCGATAAAAATAAACTGAGCCACACAGGTGACCAAAGTCCATATTTAATCACAAGCACCTGCCAGATCAAAACTATTTTCTGTGGCTACCTCACTGCTTATCAAAGTTCATTAAGACACAGGCCTTGATTTTTAGAAGTGGCCTCTTATTTGGCATCTTCCAAATTTGCAAATGCAAATACCTGTACACACAACAGATGTCTAACTACCTGACTGCAGCCAGAAAGTTGGAGTCCAGATTGAAGTACTAATGAAAATCAGGCCGATAGTGTGCAAGTTTGGGTCAGTTTTGGCACTCTGTCATTCCTAGCTGTTAGCCATGTTCACATGAGCTGTTAAAATGTACACCATTAAATGTTGTTTATTTTTTCTCTTGCTTCCCAGCAGCACCTTCTGGCACAGGAATATGTACTGAACTGTAGGGCTTCCAAAGCCCTCCCCACCACACACCATCAAATGCAATACAGACAAACAGGATGTTAGCAATGTTCTTCTTTGCCAGAACCTGTATGATAGGGATGCCCACACTTTGCCAGCGGAGGCTCATGCTAGCAACTTGCTGGATCCTGAGGACTGCGCAGAATTTGGGTAAAACAGAGAAGACTGCAGGGCTAGTTTGTCACTCTGCAGTCTAGTGTGGTGAAACTTCTCCAGCGTCATTTCCCTGCCATCTCTTGTCTGATCACTTCCCCTCCTTTGGGAGTGCCCCTACCCTGCCAAATAGAGCTTCAGCAGTGCCAACCCCTGTCTCCCCAGCTAACCCACTGAGCCCTACAATCCTCACTCCCTGCCAAACTCAGGGGCAAAGGGAGCTTCCATTCCACTCCTGGCCTGCGAGGGCCCTAGTCCTCTGAATTGTGAGGAGGTACAAAACAGCCTTGCCAACGACCAGAAAGATTCCAAACCTCCCTTCATTTAATTCTAGTAGGTCACTTGATACTGTGTCACATGAAGTCACCGCATAAATTAATGCCAACTGGCCTGGACAGAAATAGTCATGTGCATTCAAAACAGGTTGAAGGACAGTAACAACAGGCAATAATTAACAGCAATGGACATAGCTGGAGTAGATCTGGGTTAGGCTGAGTCTTATTAAACAGCATCATCAATGATCTGACACCTCATTAGATGTAATATGCAAAAACCCTGAAGAAAGCAATATAAACAATTGGGGAGCTGGAGGAAAAATAAAAAGAGTTAACTGCTTAGCTAAGCAATGACTGGGAAGAGGGGTAGGGGAGACATGATAAGACTACACTGATATTTGAGGGAAAGGAATTATTTAGTGTGTTACAGGGGGGTCTAAGTAGGAAGAATGGGATGAAATTAACTAAAGATGAATTTAAGCCAAATACCAGAAGCTTCTTGCCAGAAAGATGTATTAGATGTGAAAACATTTCCATAGATAAGAGTTGGGAGCCTCACCATGTGGAACATAGAAATCCAGATTGGCAAAAACTCCAGAAATGCCTGAAACTTCTATGATCCAGGCAGTGTCCTGGGTTGCAAACTCACAGAAACTCCCTGAGTGCCCCCCCATCCCCTGAACCCCAAGAGCTATGACACACCCCCCCTCCAATCCCTTGACCCCTGAGGGCCGCGATCCACCTCAATCCCATCAGGGCTGTGACCCCGCAACAACCCCCGAGGGCTGGGATCCCCTCCCCCCCAGCCGCCTCTCGCGGGGCGGGCCGGGCCGGGCGTACCAGGCGCAGGTCCCCGGCGCGATGTACCACCACCGACAGGTTCTCGGCGCCTTGTTCCGCCATCCTCCCTCGGCCAGCCGTGGCAGGGCCGCTCGCGGCGCTTCCTCCCTCAGCAACGGCCGCTGCCCGCGCGCAGGTGCACAGGCCGCGCGGCGGGGAGTCCGGGGGTGAGCGACAGTCGGCGCCTCGGCCGCTTTGCGCCGTTCTTGGGCTGCAGCCGCTGCACCCGTCTGCGGCCAGAGGGACTTTAGCCGGGTCCAAGGGCCGGCGGCTGGCAGGACCCGGGGGGGCGGGGAGCGGCCGGGTCTCATGGTCCAAACTGCAGCTAGCCTGGCGGGAGTCAGCGCTGCCTGGGGGGCACGAGGGAGGGGCCCCGCCCCGCCCCCAGGAAGCCGCGGGCCTTGAAGGGGGGGGGGCAGGCCTGGGGGTGGCTGGGCCCCAGCGCAGGGCCTTGAAGGGGGG